TTTTTTTTTTAAATGCAGTCTTTGTTCTCCCCAGTTGCAGGGGAGCTGGGGAAAGGCCATCACAAATGGAGCATAGTGAACTTCAGGAGCACATAGACCAGGAGCTGTCAGAGTGAAGTACAGGAGAGAATTGCTATTTGATGACATCACCACAGTCCAAGGAGGTGAGTTTGTGGACATTTGGAGGAAGGAGCTGAGGGAAGAGGTGAATAAAGGAGGAAAAACTGTTAATTCTCTGGACGTTGTGAGAAGGGGGATGATAGGCAAAGAAAGTAGTGGATAGAGAGAGACGCCCCAGGATAGGGTAACGATGGGTCCGTGTGGGAAGAAGAGGTGAGAGGCATCTCTTGGAGGTGACCACAAACGCCTGCCAGGTATTGTGGGAATTTTAAGTTGTTTGCTATCAGGCGTGCAATGTGACCCTAAGTGACTTGGGGGCAGGGATTTGAGTGTTATTTTGGAAAGCAGAGATGGGGTATATTGAGCCATAAGTCTTAATGTCTACAAAGAGACCTCAAAAATGTCCGCAGGCAAAGGACTTGGGGGCTTACATCTCAAAGACATAGGAGCTCAGCATGCATGTAGATTCCATTGATGGAGTAAGACTGTCCCATCACACAGCTGAAGGGAGACAGGAAGGGAAAAGTGAAGTACTGGGGAATGAATTGGAGTAAATTATGTTTTGTGCATATGTGAGTATGTCACAGTGAACGCCACTGTGATGCGTGATTATAATGCACTAATAAAAAACATTTTTTTAAAAAAAGATTGCCCCATAAATTAGGGGTCAATTGTGCACCTATAATCCCAGCTACTCTGGAGGCTGAGGCAGGAGATGGCTTGAGCCCAAGAGTTTAAGATTAGCCGGGGCAACATAGTGAGACCCTGTCTCAAAAGTAAACAAAAAAGAATGCTGTGTCCTATGCTTGTTGCTCCTAATGCTGCCCAACAAGGGTCAAGTCCCACTTCTCAGTGGTATGAGTTTGGCTTCATGAAATGATTATCATCCTAAACCATGGAGCACCCCTTATCATCACAGAGAGCAGGTGAGAGAGGTCTCCAGGCAGCTGAGTGGCGGTCACCCCCACCAGCGCTGCCTGAGGGTGGGAGGTGCTCCTTAGGAGATGGAGGCTTTATAACTCACTCCCACGGCACATGCACAACTGGGCAATTCATCAAAAAATCCTATTTGCTCAGGAATAAAGTGGCAATAAGCCTTACTGGGGACACTTGGGAGTGGGAGCTACAGGACTACCTGTGGGAGGAAATGCAAGTGGCCACAAGTCACTTACCTCGCCCAGGATAGCTGACAGCAGGCTGCTCTTGCCACTCCCCGTGTTGCCGCAGACCCCTAATATCATCCCCTGCAAAGCCAAGAGAGACAGGCAGGTTGGGGTGGCCTGACCTTCCCACGGGCCCAGGGAGGGTGGATGGAACACAGAATGATAAACAGGAAACAAAATAACCACACGCACTCCCAAAGCTCTAGACAAGCAAAGCTCAAGAGCTTGGAATTCAGTCTGTGCAGGCAGGATGGGCAGAGGGAG